ATGCAAACACTCAAGCAATGCACTTGGATTCACTCCCAATCTCACAAAGATAATGAATCAATTATGGAGATGTGTGGGAGGGCTTTGGCTAAGCTCACAAGGTTGCTATATCAATGCAAATATCCAAGAGAGTGAGCAAGAGCCGGCCAACCCGTTTATATAGAGCCCCAACCGATCACGTAGCCGTTAGGCTCAAATCTTATTAGCTGTGGGCTGATCGGACACTCCGGTCAGATTGATCGGCGCAAGACAACACCACCGGTGCGTCCGGTGCGTGCGATGTGCTCCACATGGCCCCATGATTCAACTTCGTCCATGTGATCTCAATGGCTAGTCAAGCTCACGCCACGTTTTAAGTTGCGACCGAACGTCTGCGCTTTCGAAGTGACCGGACACTCCACCGCTAGAGTCCGGTCGTTTCCAGTAAGGTACCAAAAGGTGGTTTTTCTTGACCGGACGCGTCCGTCCATCAAGACCAGGACTGGACGCGCCGGTGCGTTCGTTCCTCCTCCTCTTCTCGCTGCGCCGCCACGTTAGTAGGACCCGGGCGTTGAACAGTGTTCAACCAGAGTCCGGTCCTTTGCATGACCAACGTCCGATCCTTTGTTTCTCAGTGACAATCACCTCCTTCACTTCACCAACTCCTCCACCCTTGCTCAAATGTGCCAACCACCAGGTGAATCACCTTGTGCACGTGTGTTAGCATATTTTAACAAATATTTTCAAGGGTGTTAGCACTCCACTAGATCCCACTAGATCCTAAATGCATATGCAATGAGTTAGAGCATCTAGTGGCACTTTGATAACCGCATTTCGATACGAGTTTTACCCCTATTAATAGTACGGCTATCGATCCTAAATGTGATCATACTCGCTAAGTGTCTCGATCACTAAACCGACAAGGTCCTATCAATTTCACCTTTGCCTTGAGCTTTTTGTTTTTCTCTTTCTTCTTTTCCAAGTCGAAGCACTTGATCATCACCATGATCTTCACCATTGCTTTATCACTTGGAATAGTGCTACCTATCTCATGATCACTTAGATAAACTAGGTTAGCACTTAGGGTTTCATCAATCCACCAAAACCAAACTAGAGCTTTCAGGAGTAACAGTAAGTCCATTTCTATTCCATTTGTTTTAAAATATATACTATGGGTGGTTTCTGTTTTGTTTTATAACTCAACCTTTTTTAAAAAAAATCTGACCAAGTTTATATAGACAAATATATATCAACATATACGGTGCGTACAATACTGGTGGGTTTAATTCGTTTCGAGAAAGAAAATGGTGGCTCTAATGGAAATAAGCTGATTTTATATAAATGACCAACACGACACATGGTTCACGGTCTAAAAGATGCTGACATAACACCTTGATAGATCCTATATGAAAGATAGCAAGATTGAAAAGACTTCAGGCCATGAAATCATGTTCTATGGGGTCCTATATCAAAATCACTGTCAGGTCTTCTGGGCTTGGAAAGCAAGTGAAAACTCCCACTATAGAGAGCAAAACGTTTATGGAATGGTTGTTGTCTACGGCATTAAACAACAAAAAACAGTAATACCAATTTCTTAAATGGGACTAATAAAGGTGGATCAAAGACCCCGTGCGCACCTCCAAACCAAGGCAACTGGAGATTAAAATGTGGAAGATAAATAATAAGCTCAAGAATTTTAGTAACGAGATGCAATTACAATAAGCTTTTGTCCGACTTTTGAATAAGTATATCAATCAAAGGACCGTATCGATGAATCGACTCCTAAACAAATTTATGTGCCTAACAAGGTGGTTCCTGCTACACCTATGCAAGGCATCAAACAAGAGTATCTTGTATATAATTGGCTCTATGGAGGTCTCGATTAAAGAGATAAAAGAGCCAATTGTCAGTGAGAACCAGGCTCATCAATCCACTATGCAAAACGTGGAGCAAAATTGCCTCTGAAGGTAGAAATGAAGTCGAGAGTAGTAAGCTAGAGTCCAAGTACTTCGAACCAAGGTGGCGCCCTTCAGACTTGACCAAGATGCAACGACGCAAACTTCAGCGTGCTTGTCGTAAGAAAAATCGAGCAAGAAGCCTAGAGTTTCTTGAAAGACAGCCCTATACAATATCGCCCTTAAAACAAAACAACTGATAGCTTGACATCGTTACTTTGTTGCTATGTGTTTTAAAACTCGCATATGCCTCGCTTTAAAAAATAAGGAGCCATATGTTGACAGCAAAAAAGGCGAGATGAGGTTATATTTACTTGGGAGGTTGAGATGTTAGAAGTTTGAGTTGCGTGAAACTCCCGTGTCTCGGGGAGTTGGCTTGGGCGTCGGAAGTTCCAACGTTCCTATTCGACTCTAGCTATTTCCAATTCGGATCCAAAGTCCTCCGATCTCATGGAAAACTTCGCATATTGCATCCTTGGAAGGTTTCCATTGAGATAAGTCCACACCCTCTATATATATTACAGGGGTCATGCCCGGTTGAGGTATTCAATACACAATGGACAAAATCAATCTACCTTACCTTTTTTTATCTTTTATCTCAAGCTCTTCCAACCCTCTTGCTGGTCCATCACTTCTCTCGACGAGATTTGCCAGCGTTTTAAGTGACCTTGCCAATCCTAGAACACCCCCACCGTGCGTCCAGGGAGGTGTTTGCAGGTTTCATGGCGGAAGAACGAGCATCTAATTAGCCTCGTCGACCTCTTTGGTCGACATCGACGATTGAGATCTTCCTTCACTACGTGTGTGACCTCGGCGATGCAGCCTCTATCGGTATGACCATAATCAGGGTCAATACCTACTAATGTATGGTCATCTAATATTATTTGTCGTGACGAATATAAACGTCATTTTTCATATTGACACAATAGTGTACGTCCAAGCACTTGTATTGTAGTACATTAATCCCTTAATTCATCTGTAGAGAGTTAATTCATCATCAATTGGCTGCGGGTTAACGAATGGAACATCCGAACATGCATACGAATCTAATACAGGAGTGAGTATATAAATCCTATGTATATATGTAATAATATAATACAGGTAGCAGGCAGGCAGATTATTTGTTAACTAGGAGGTAGAGACGTGACGTATGCAGGCAATCTAAGTCGAAGTCGAAGTCAAAATCGAAATCCACCACTGAGATTTGTGATTCAGGCATCAGCCGTATATATATTGCTGGCTGCCAAGCGTATAGCGTCCCGGAAAGCATATAAAACCAGATATGCACATGGAAATCGAATCTGCCTATCTGCCGTCTCTGACCCTCTCGTGTATATATAATATACTTATAAGCATAGTGCAGACACTTCATTTAAAAAAATCCCATGAGGCCGAGTGAATGACAATATATAGGACTACAATACTATTTAGCTGCTTTTCAGACCAAATTACATACACTTGTAAGAGCGGGACACGGTGTTCGAGGGTTTTCTCGACATATATGAGAAGATATTCTTTCTTAAGCACAAAGTTGCGGGGCTATCTACCCACCGTAGGCCGAGTTTTTTTTTAACCTGAAAACAGCTGCGTGCTGCTGCATGTTGTTTTCAAGCAGCCGGCCGGCGGCTCGATCATATACATCTACTACTCTCTACGTCTTTGTTCAGTTGTACCTACACATGTTAGCTGACCCTAACCCCACATATATAGTTTATAGTACCGGTATATATATAGTTTACGACTTACGAGAGTTGTTATTATTTCCTTTTATGTATCCTGAACCCCCTCCCACTTGCTCCCTTTATCTCTCTTTGTAATGTACTTTTTCTAACTTGTCTTTAATAAAATACCAGTAGAGGTACACCCCTCCTGATTAACGTCAAAAAAAAGAGTTGTTATTATATTCGTTAGCAGCCTCCTGACGATGGTCAATTTATTTGGACTTATCTCATCAATCTCAGCTTCCGATTTTGCTAGAAAATTTTTTTTCTCAACTTGCAAAGATTCTTTTAGCAACGAGCGATCTCTCTCAGAGAACCGAAGGAACTATGTGTACATATATACATATACTGACTACTCTTTTCATCCCAAAATATAAGTGTTTTTATTTAATCTGTTCAATCAAACTAGTCTAAGTTTGGTCATGTTTATAGAAAAGACATCAACATTTTGTGATACCAAGGGACTGTTTGGCAGGGCTCCTCCGGAAAAAGCCCTGTCAAACGTTCCGTAGAAGGAGCCATTTTTCAGTGAAAAACAGAGCAATCCTGCCAAGCACCCTACGAACGAGAAACATTAATTCAGTTGTGACATATTTTGATATTTTACTTCTTTGACCACGCATGTGTTTTTGTCATGGCTGCGAAGAAATGCGAATACTTGACTACCACCTACTACTGCGTATTAGGCCTTGTTCAGATTGGGGCTAGGAATCAGTATTTGACACTGTAGCACTTTCGTTTGTATTTGACAATTATTGTCCAATCATGACCTAACTAGGCTCAAAAGATTCGTCTCGTAATTTACAATCAAACTGTGTAATTAGTTATTTTTTTATCTACATTTAATACTCTATGCATGTGTCCAAAGATTTAATGTGATAGAAAGAGAGTGAAAAAACTTACAATCTAAACAAGGCCTTAGTAGCAAACTTGACGTTCACCAACCAGCAAGCTAAAAAATTCAAAGTTGAAACAGCAGAAGATAAAAATAAAATAAACGCATGAGGCGTGACCAGGGAGGGGCTGCTATTTGTGCCAAACCAAGCTGAAACGAGAGGCTGCTACTTTTCGGTGACCGTCCGCACAAGACAAATATATGCAAAAGGTCGCATACATGACTGGAGCTAGGCGTTTCTGCATTCAGATTCAGATTCAGATTCAGATTTGGTTCGCAAAAGGGGCAATTGTGTGACAGTGTCATTTCTGTTTTGGGTGTGATAGCGAGGGAAATTTACGGAGAAGATGCCTGGATTGTTGTTGCGGGCTGCTAAACTTTCATGGGCCCGGTCAGCCCACTGCTTCGAGGCCAGCAGGGGCTTCCCTCCCTTCCACGGGCCATGGGCCATCATTCCCTGTCTGTCCTCTGCTCTCCCTCACTGTCGTCGACGGCGGCGGCGAACCAGCTTTGGCAAGCGGCGGTCATGGCCGGTAGCTTCCCCCTTCCCATGTCGCAGCACGATTCGTGTGTCAGCTTAGCGTAACCAAGGCTGCGCGCGAAGGCGTTGTGCTGCACGCGGCGATGGCGTTGGTCGACCGCCGAGGGACGAGCGACCTCCGCGGTGGCGTGGCGTACAACGTACTGCTTCCCGCGGCGAGCCAGCGACGACGTGAAGCCCACTCCACTCTCGGTGAGCCCATTCTCGTTGATCCCACTGCTGTGCTGAAACATGGTTTTTTTTTTTTTTGCTTGCTTGCTCGATTGCCTGACTACCTGTACTCTGAAATCTGATTGAACTGTCCTGCTAACCTACTGATTATATATGGTGGCATCTTGTTTGCTTAGCTCTCAGTGAGGCACTAAAGTCAGGATCATACATCTAGTGATCTAGGACAGCCACAGCAGCTATGATTCTTAAGTTGTTTCTTTATATGGCACAATCTATGTGGAGTATTCAGAAGTTCAGAGTCGCGTTGCTCCTGTCTCTGTCTGTCGTATGCAAACAACTGGCCTGGTCTGATTCACACTAGCTTGGGCCCTCCTGTATTCACATAATCACGTGTGACTGAATGTATGATGGGCAGCCTAGGTTCTGTTGCTCTGTCTGACTGACTGTCTTCCGCAAGCAGCTGGTGTCAAACACACCTACTACTTGAGTCCTTGCCTTTTCACATGTAACCTGGATGGAATACTCCATTTGCATCTAGGCGATAATACCCTGCGCGTTGTGGTGGGAGTTATTAGAATAAATTGTAAATTGATGATTGAAGATGCTCCACAGTCAGGTATTCTTGCGTATGAGATAGAAGAATCTGAATCTGCAAACTCGAAGCTGTTCTGGACGATATGCCCTTTTTACTAAGTAACAGATAATCATAAAAAGCACGTCTAGACGTCTAGTCATGTTATATACTGAAGAAATTCTTATACTCATTTACTCCTTGCTAATATACAGCTTAGCTAGATTGATTGCTTACCGTACACTGACTGATTACAGCAATTTGAAAGTCAGTCCAAAAGAATATATTTGTTGCAACTTCTGAAATGCACAGGCCTAACGTAGGGCAATTGAGGGAGGGCCTCTGGAAAAAGTCAGACTTGAGCTTGGGGATACATTCCCCTACACGGCTTGTACATCGGTGATGTATCTTAGAGAGTGATCTTCCTGTAAAAAAGTATTAACCTCATTGATTTGGAATTCTGTCTCACTTTGACTTTGGCAGTTTGGCTATGCTGGAATTAGGTGCTACTCAGTGGCATGTATATCATCGCAGGGATGGATGGGCGATGGAAGGGAAGGATTGGGATTTCAAGGGACCAAACATGAACTGTGAACACTGGTGGAGCTGCAACAAATTGATAAAGGCGGGGGGGGGGGGACTCTTGCCTTATGGATTGATAGACTAGTATTATGTAGGGTGCCTATATGGTTTACTTTTAGTCAAAATCACTGTTTTTCAGTTTTTGGGGTGCATTTGCAACCCCCTAATTACACTACACCTTACCCTGACCATGACAGACTATTTCCATTGTGTGGGAGGAGGAAGGCCACATGACTTTTCAGATGGTTGCTTTAATATGTTTGTTTGGGAGTCGGTAGAGAGGTATGGAATTCAAAGGGATGATGAATTGAGAAGATGATCGGAGAATGAACAATCACAACTGATGTGGCTTGCTGAGAATCCTGAGAAATACTCATTAATGATACATAATGGGTTCCTTCTATACAAGATATATAGATATAAAGTACATGTTCTGAGACAGTATACCATTTGTACATCATATACAGTGCATACTCTGACATTGTATGTCATTTGTACAAGAGGTAGCCATACAGAAACTCATTCCAGACATCAGGCACACCAGGGAGGCACCAGTGCATGCAATCCGCATAACTGGCTGGGTTTGTGATCTGTTCTGTCGTTAGAGGGGCAAACTGTTTGCTAAACACCGTGGGGTGCCCATCCTTACGGTAGTCAGACAACTCCGTGATGTTGAGTATCTGAATGTGTATGCCCTTCTCCTCTAGTGTCCCAAAATATGACTTAGCCTTCTCCATCATACTGTAATCTGTACTTGCTGCTTTGTATCCGACTTTGTAGATCGGTTCTGTCTCATTGAGACATTTGTTACTGTTTTCTCCACCCCAGTTGCTAGCCCTGAAATATAGGCATGTTGCACCACTTTCATGTTTCATGTAGATGGTGCTATATTGTGCCATTATTTGTGTTGGCACAAGATGCAAGGGTAGCGTTCGCCTCTCACTCACCATGAATGTGTAGGTGAAGATCCAGCAAAAAATATTCTAGTCCTGTTCTTGTCAATATTCTCTCCGAGCCATTCGGTCAGTTTCTTGAGTGCTATCTCGAAACCATCTATCATTTCTACTTTGTCTAACCTTGCATTACCACTCTCAAATGAACCGTACCTGCTCATATCCTCATATTCATTGCCTTAAAAAACTTTTGTTTGCTTGTATATGATCAGTTCTCAACTATGTGGAATTGGCAATGTGTTAAGATGAGGTTGCGTGGCCTTGCATCACCTCACTTATATGAGTAGAAGTAAAGGAATGAACTTACATGACCTTCATCCTCATGTCAGCCTTATGCTTCCTCCGCCACACATAAGAATTGAAGATTATGATGTCAGCATCCCTCCAAGCACTGGCATGCTTCTCAATTCTGTCTGCCCTTATGATCCGATACTCCACCCTGTGGCCAATTGGATCGTCGCTGTTGGACTCCAACAGCAACGGTGACCAGTAGAAGTCTATGGTTGCATTGTATTCCTAAAATCTATAAATTAATACGTTTTGCATCTGCTAATGGAAATTGTTGGTTTCTGTAAACTGCAGATTTATGAAGGAAAACATACCAATGCCTTGAAGGAAATGAGTGAGCCATTGAAGGTGCGCATCTTGTGCCTAGCATCAGGTATAGAGGCCTCCACCATGCACACCAGCGAAACCCATTGGTTCCTGTTGAGTGAGTCACCCACAAACACCAACCTCTTGTTCCTCAGCTTTTCAAGCAGCCTGATGGCATTGAATCTGTTTTGACCCAAATCCAGATGTTGTGTCATAAATACCATGCACCCTATACCTTTTATTTTCAAAACTTTGGACGCACACTGTAATTTGGTCAATAACTGAATGTTATGCTGATTTGATCCCTTTTTTTTTAGCCCTCTAGGCTTGTAAAATAGAAGAAACAATAATATAAGGAGATGGAATTTTCTCCGATGTTGACCTTTCACTGTGAATTAGTACCCTCTTGTGTTGGTTTCTGGTTGGCCTCCCAGCTATCAGATCAATTTTCCAGTCTTAACAAATACATTTTTTCTCTGCAGTACTATTCCCTGTTTTCTGTTTCACTCATGGAGCATGCAAATGTTTCTCGAACACGCAGGAGAGCTGCGTATCATTGTATTAATAGTAGTAGAAGAAAGAGTCATACATAGACTCACACCCACACACCCACAATAGATCCTCTGGAATCTAATCACCCTTTACAGATAGAAAGGCGACCATTATAGGAGTCCAAAACCTAAGCCTAACCCACCCCTCTGATATCTGGCGGGGGGAGACCCTTGGCTCGTGCCAATCTCCACAAAAGGGCCTCCTCCTTGGCCAAAACCAGGGCTGTACCCAACCTGGGTGAAGCTCCATTGAACACACAATCATTTCGGTGTCTCCAGATAGTCCAGGCTCCCAGGATGATAATCGAGTTCAGTCCTTGCGCACCTCACTGTCCACACAATTCTCCACTTTCCTCCACCAGTCAATCAGGGCTGTATCAGATGGCTGTGGGGCGAGGACTGAGAGGCCTGCATAATGCAAGATGGAGTACCAGAACTGCCTAGTGAAGACACACCCAATGAGGAGGTGCTGAATGTTCTCTTCTTCTTGAGTGCAAAGCGGGCATCTAGCAGGATCTGGGAGACCTCTCGAGCCAACTTATCTGCAGTCCAACATCGATTGTGGGCAACCAGCCACATAAAGAATCGACATTTGGGAGGTGCCCAAGTTTTCCAAATGCGTGCATATGGCTCAAAACGGATAGCCCCCTGAAATTGAGCCTCATAGGCCGATTGCGCTGTGTACTGTCCTGATGAGGATAGTCTCCAGATGTGTTTATCAGGGATTCCTTGCTGAAGTTCCACCGCATTAATAATATCCCACAACTCCAGATATTCCCATAGCGCGTCAATGGTTATTTCTCCCTGAATATCCTCCAACCAAAGATCATTGTCCAGGGCATCTTTAACAGATCTTCTGTTTGCTGTTCTCCTTGACACAGAGGCAGATAAACTGGGGGCAAGGCTCTGGATGCTTTTACCATCCAGCTAGTTATCCTTCCAGAATAAGGTATTGGCCCCATCTCCTACCTCAGTGACCACAGCCATCATCAGGAGACATTCAACTTCTTTGCTAGTCTGGAGAGGCAAACTGGCCCAAGGTTTGTGAGGTTCAGTTTTCCTAAGCCAAGGCCATCTTACCCGCAGTGCAACTCCAAGTGCTTTCAGATCAGAGATTCCCAATCCTCCAAGCTCCTTTGAACGGCACACCTTAGGCCAAGCAATAAGACAGTGCCCACCATTTGCTTCTTTACGACCACGCCATATAAAGGCTCTTCTAATCTTGTCAATTGCTTTAATTGCCCATGGGGGCAGGTCAATTGCCATGGCCAAGTAAACCATCATAGCAGTGAGGACATGTTGGACCATCACAACCCTTCCAGCCCGAGTCATCAAGTCAGCTTTCCAACCAGGTAGTTGATCCGCAATTCTGTCAATAATGGGCTGGAATTGACCCCTGGTTAACTTCTTTGTTGAGAGAGGCAATCCAAGGTACCTGCATGGGAACTCTAGCACTTCACACGGCAGTAGGTTCTGTACCAGGCTCATATTCTCTTCAGAGCAGTGAATTGGCAAAACATTGCTTTTCTGCACATTGGTCTTAAGCCCCGAAGCATCTCCAAATAAGTCAAGGATTCTCAAAGATAATGAAATATCTGCTGCTGCCGGCCTGAGAAAGAGTGCTACATCATCAGCATATAGTGAGATTCTGTGTTGGAGAGGTCTTCGGGATAATGGCTGAAATAATTCAGCCTCTGATGCTCTAGTAATCATCCAGTTCAAGACATCCATGACAAGTATAAAGAGCATTGGAGATAGGGGATCTCCCTGCCCGAAGTCCTCTCCTGTGATGTATAACCTTTCCAGGGGTTCCATTAAGGAGGACTTGAGTGGATGATGAAGTCAACAGCCCACATAAAAGATCCCTCCATCTTGAGCCAAACCCCAGTTGGCCAAGCACCTCCATTAGGAATGGCCAAGAGACGGAATCAAATGCCTTTGTGATATCCAACTTGAGGAGAATGCTAGGCTGTTTTTGAGAATGCAAGAATCTTACTGTCTGTTGCACCAACATGAAATTATCCTGGATAAACCTTCTCTTGACGAAGGCACTCTGGTTGGGGGAGACCATTGCATCCAAGTGGCCAGCCAATCTGATCAGCCTCTGCTCTTTTTGGAATCAAAGAAATATAAGCAGAGTTTAGCATGCACAAGTTTCTGAAGTTTTTCCCCATATAGAATGCAGGACAGCCATTATATCTTCCTTAATGATTGGCCAGCAGGTTTTGTAGAATCTCCCTGTGAATCCATCCGGGCCTGGGGCCTTATCAGACGGCAAATTTTTAATGGTGTTCCAAACTTCCTCCTCCGTGAAAGGAATGTCTAGGGCCTCGAGATCATGTCTAGGGATGTTCAGGGCATCTAGGTTGATGGTTCTGACTCGGTCATTATCAGAACCAATTAGATTAGAGTAAAACTCAAAAATTGCAGAAGCTTTCTCCTCATGGGCTGTGATGGTCCTGTCCCCCTCCCTCAACTTTGCAATGACTGCTTCCATAACAAAATTACTAACCTTTTAAAATTCATAAGTCTGACACTGACACAGTTTCTTGTTCTAGTACTGTACCTTCAGATTCGCTCGAAGTTTTGGGTTGACAAGAGCAAAGTTGAGCTAGAAATACTCCAACTCTACTAGGAAAGTTTGTACCTTGGAAGGTGGCATCTGTTAGGCTGCCATCTCCACTGCTGGTACATGACATCCTTCCTGCCGTATTTGTCACAAGCAACCTCAGGGAAGATGAAGGCACACTTGAGCCCAGAGTACAAAGGACGGGACATGTTGTCGTAGACCCATCGTCCTGTGGACCAATTGCACTCCTTGGTAGCGTCTGGGAGCTCAGCTCTTGATTGGACCTGTGCCTCTTTCCCTCTTGGTTGTTTATGGTGATCAGCTGCCACCTCGTCCTGTATTTCTTTTAGTTCATGCTTGACCGCCATTGGTGGTTGTACTTCGTGGCCTTGGTAGAACAAGAAGGTGATGAAGATGACAATGACGGAGAAGGCAACTAGGGAGTTGATGCTCCTCAGTACAACCTGAGAATTGAGAACCGTCATCTTGGGGGTGGATTCTGCTTTCCTTCAGAAAACCATGGTGCAGTGCATGGCCCCCTCTTTTATTGTGCACCTCCTTACATTAACAATGGGAGCACTACTTCTGCACATGGGTAAGTGGTCCAAATTTGCTTGTAATTAAGCAATGACCTGAACAATAACCATGGGTTATCCATATGGAGGGAGGCAATGTCTGATTGTTCAGTATGTTGGACGTCTGACCGCCTTGCACGTCGTGGAATGCCTTGCCCAGAATGCTGTCCACTTTGTGATCAAGAGGAGGAAACAATCAACCATCTCCTGGTTGAATGTGTCTTCGCTAGGGAGTTTTGGTTTAATTTGCTGCAGCAGGTCGCTCTCCAGGCCTTGTCCCCACAACCTACTGAAAACTCATTTCTTGATTGGTGGGAGAGAGCTAGTAATGCTACTTCTAATATGGTTAGGCAAGGGGTTAATTCCCTAGTCATTCTGGGGGCCTGGATTCTTTGGAACCATCGTAATCGTTGTGTTTTTGATGGAGCAGCTCCTAGTGTTGCTGGGGCTTTAGTAGTGGCTGGGAGGAGGCGCGGTTGTGGACCACGGCAGGAGCTCGTGGCCTTTCCCTCTTGTCAGCCCATCTCCCAGGAGATTAGTGCTTTGGGTCTGTGTGGGTCGTTTGCAGCCAGCTTAGGTGTGTATGTGCTTTGGCTGCTGTAGCGTGTGTTGTGTGAGTGAGTTGTGTTTGGGTGTCTTGTAAGTGTTGGGTTCTTATACCCTCTTTCTTCTTAATACAATGAGACGAGATCTCTCGTTTTTCGAGAAAAAAAAATGTTTAGTATGTAAAGGTGAAACAGAAACCTCTACCATCACATGAATGTTTTTCTAATTAATTTAGTGTGAAAGGTATACATGCATCGGAGTCCAATCTTTGTGAATGGTAGTAAAGAGGAATGCATCTTTTTTAACATGTTGGTGCATAAAGTATAAAGTTTAGTTACAGATCATTTTACAAATCACCATATTTAAGCATGCATCAAACTGTTTTGGTTCTGAATCTTAGATAATGCCATGTTAGGTGCTAAATAGTTGTCCAGTTCAGCATATGGCTACATGAGTGACTCCAAAGACCAAGTACAGGGTTTGGTGCTGTTTGCTGTGCTTGATTTTGCTATATATCCCGTCAAAACCATTGGAAGTTTATTTCTCATGTAGGTGCATGGTCTTGCTTGGTTGCATCGTTCCACCTGTATTAATTTGAACATTTTATCAGATTTTGTTTCTTTCTGGCAGGCAAATTAACTCTGTGGAGAATAGATGATGAGGAGCAGCATTCAGAAAATCATTTGCATGCAATGATGGAGGTGTAGAGTGGTACAATTGTTACTGATCTTTATGTAGCTTATGAGATGAGGGAGCCTTAAGATGAATGGATGCGCACACAGTAGCAAACAGCAGTGGTTAACTTGGACGGATTATTGGTACCTCATAACTGTTAACCTAATGCTTGCTGCTCCACATGGTTCCCTGCTTCCAGAAAGTCCAAGAAGAGTCGGTACAACTGCTATGGACATTTGCAAGACTGCAAGTATGTTCTTGTGATCTTGTCTGAGATGTAGAACCATGTGCAAGATAATAATCAAGTGTGCTGCTTCAGGTAGCTGCAAAGGCAAGTAGCGGTTGTACACTTTCCGGTAGCGAAGAATGAACTCTGATGATGCCAAATATAGTATGCACTGAATACATCTATCGCCCTGTACTATAATGTACTTCATTTTAGATTTTTACAGACTTGATGGCACTTGTTCCCCATATTCTCCGGTTATATTGCCGTTGCTAACTTTAGAGTGCTCTCTCTCTCTCTCTCTCTCTCTCTGTCTCTCTCTCATCATGAATAAACGATACATTTGCAATTCTCTTCTGAGAAAAAGAAACGGCTGGCATTCGCAAATTATCGCAATTCGAGTGAGCAAATGCACACTGCACATGCAATCTATGTTCCTGGAATCTCTTTTATTAATTACTAAAAGTAACTACAAAAACCTGTTAATACTAACTTGCACCCACCTAGCCCAATTTTTGACTGAATTTTACATATAGGTTCTTCACTTCATTTAATTACAAGTGCTTATACAGAACCGTAAGTATCAACATGCGGGCAACCGCGCAAGGCAATTGTTATCGTAGAACTAACAGTGTTGCAGGTACATCAGTCACCACAGTGCAACCACACCTTTGTCAAATCTGTTCACCGCCGAGCATCTTCGTCAGAACCTTTTACCCATGTGATGATGAAAGTATGGCCTTGGAGCTTCCAGGCAGGTTGTTGTAATATCTGAAGGCACAATGCGATCTATACATCCAGCACTTTCGCATATTGAATGACCAAATTTGCTGCATTCATCTCCTTCCTTGCTTTAGTCTGCAAAATGGCAATATCAATACAGCCCATCGTAGCTAGAATGCAAGGATTTTGTAGGCAACAGTGTAATTCCAGTGGGAGTAATGTGAGATTTGTGTGTTCAAAAGTTAGAGCAGTGTTGTTTCGAAAGAAAATTCATTTAGTTTGTAAATTGATTGGTTAAAATAAAATGTTTTACATTAGTTAAGAGTGTCACAGACCAGTTTAAAATACTATGCAATAGATGATAAAATTTGAACCTTTATGGTTGTATTTCTCAAGGCTTTGTCCATCTCCTCGAACACATCCTTTATGGTGGGGCGCCCTACACTTGAACTCGCAACACAAAGAACTGCGATTTTCAGTATTAACACGAAATCTTCTATGATAACATCATCCCTAACAGGTGGATCTATGAATTCCTCCAGTGGCTTTTTCCCACTCACGACATCCTTGGCCTTCAGATAAAAAATGAAAACTTAATATTGTCAAATATTTAATAGAAATAAGGAATGTGTTGATAATACAAGGGATCATAATACCGTAAATGAACATAACCAGGCCTTGCTCAGTAGACATGAAACAAATAGCTCCTGCTTCTGAAGTTGTAGAATCATTGCCACATGCTTGGCATATATCATCTGAGAAATAGATGATCATACATTTTTACCTTCTTCGTTAGTGAAACACGCGCAACAATGTCGAGTTCTATGACCTTCCTTCCTGACAGAAGCTGCAGAGCGACAACACCAAAACTGTATATGTCACTGGCGCAAGTGAGCTTGGAGTGTGTGATGTACTCGGGATCCATGTACCCAATGGTTCCCCTCACATCTGTGAACACCTTGGTCTCCTCCATTTCTAGCATTTTTGCCAGCCCGAAATCAGCCAGCTTTGGCACCTTGTTCTCTGTCAGCAAGATGTTTGTGAGCTGCAACAATTCCAATAGCAAGAGCACGTTATGGTTCAGAATGGAGTAACCTCACGTTATTATGCCTGCAAATTTCAACTAGCATTATTCTCACCTTGATGTCTCTATGGACAATGCATCCATCAGGGTGTGTGTGAAGAAACCTCAGGACAGATGCACAATCCCTCAGGATCTTCACTCTTGTTTCCCATGGTAGCGCAGAGTCACTTCCTACCAATCAAGAACAGAACATTGTTGCATTAGTTTCAGAATCAACCAATCGAGAAGTGCTAGCTACTAGATGATGACCTCAAATAAAGCTGAATATATCTATTTCCCTTACTCAGTAGGTTCTGGGCAAGGTTTCCATTGGCACAGTACTCATACACCAGGTACTGATCTCCCTCCTCATCACAGTAGCCGAAGAGGCACACCAGGTTGGGGTGCCTCACCTTGGACAGCTGCTCCACCTCCCTCATGAAGGATCCCAACATCGCCGTCTTGTGGATGTGCTTGATTGCGACAAGCTGGACACTGGGTAGCACCCCCTGGTACACCTGACCTTCGCTACCGGAGCCAAGGTATATCCTGCTGCTCGCATAGTTGATCGCTCTCTCGATCTCCTCCTTGGTGAATTTGTACAAGCCTGACCACTTGCTGTTCACCTCCCCTTTATGTACCCTGTAGTTGCCTTGTGATGATTTTAGTGATGATTCTGTAGTGGTTTCGTTTGCTTTCTTCCTGTTCCTCAGGTATTTGGTGATTGCGATGGCGATGCCGACTACTAGGAACGCAAAAACTATCAGGACTGCAAATGTGCTACCTGAAATATAATTTGTGAACACGTAATGTAGAGTTAAGACTTTTTAGTGTCGATGAATGTTGATGAGGTGCACAGCGTGGATGCATAAAACAAGGGCTTGGACTTGAGTCTGACCTTGATGTATTCACCATCTGCAAGTTTAAGACAGATTTCATTAGATACAAAATAACTACATAATCAAAATGTAATTTGAGAGGCATGCCATGTTAAACTGCGCCTATAAAAGGGAATGGGGGAGTATTAAAAAAACAAGGTGACTACAAATCTAATACACCCTTTGAGGTTACCTGAGGTCAGCTAATTCAATCTTTTACTACTATATAATTAATATTATGTATTAAATATAGCAAATTTACAAAACTACTCCCTCCGGTCCTGAATAAATCAATTTATAGAAAAAGCAACAAAACTTATTGTCGGTATTTTGGACCGGGGGTCCTCAACCGACTAGTGAAAGTGTACTGCGTGTTCCTAATCCCGGATGGTGATGCAAAGAGACACAATGTTTATACTGGTTCAGGCAATAAGTGCCCTACGTCCAGTCTGAGGGAGCGATCTTGTATTCCTTGCACCGAGGTGCTTGTAGTAGGGGCTTACAAGCAGGGCGAGAGAGGGAGCTAGCCCCAGGTCTCTATGAATTGCCGTGTGGGTTGCTTGAGATGTTGATCTCTTGCAGTGAAGTAGTGTGCGTGTTACAGAGTGTTGTGCGTGGCTTGCACCAGTCTCCTCCTGCCTAGAAGCGGCCCTGGTCACTCCCTTTTATAGTCGAAGGGAGGCACAGGGGCGGAACATATATTTGCTATGTGGCGTTCTTCGGCAGGGGCGGCATGTCCGAGCCCTGCAGCTTGTCACTATGGCGGCGTGGTTGGTGGAGCGGTCTTGTCCTTCGTGCA